CAGGTCAGAGACAAGGCAGAGACACCCAGGTCCCAATGTCCCAGGTGCTCGGGGCCTTTCACCAGGAACTCTGTGCAGCAAGACCACCCTTCGTCCTGCAGACAGCACAATCTCATCTCAGTTCTCTTGCTAAACCCCTGAAGGCCCTCACCACCGTGCTCAGGCCACCGTTTTAAAGGTCTAGGCTTACCCTGTTGCAGTGTCAACATGAAGCTGCTCCAGGGTGAACTGGACTGTGGTTGGGCTCCTGGGCCCTTCTCTCTGCCCCTACTCACCCTTCTCCAAAGGGGAGGCCAGGGGTTCCCTTGTTGGGGGAGAGCCAGGTCATCGAACTGCCCAAGTGACAGGCAGATCAATGAACTCCTTGTAGAAAAGGGGAGGGGAAGGACTTAGCCAATCATATATAATAAAAGGCTAATATGTATATAGATTGAATAGCTGAACAACCGGTTACTATGATGAACACTGACCACCAGGGGGCAGATGCTCAATGCAGGAGCTGTCCCCTGGTGGTCAGTGCACCAGGAGCCAGGCTCACAGTTGGCAGGTGCAGCAGCGGTGACGGCAGTGCCAAAGATGTCAGTCGGGCATCCCCTGAGGGCTCCCGAACTGCGAGAGGGCGCAGGCCAGGTTGAGGGATGGCAAGTGCACCAGGCCTCTAATATCTTACCTAATAAAAGAGTAATATGCAAATTGGCTGCACCTTCGCTATGCCCAACCCACGCCCACCAGCCAATCAGGGTGAGTATGCAAATTAACCCAAGATGGCAATTAATTTGCATATCAAGATAGCGTAGAAAGAAGTCAAGCACTGCAGAGGGGAGGGAAGCTGTGGAGAAGCATGCAAGTGGGGCGGGGAGAAGGAAGGGAAACAGCAGGGCGGGGAGAGCGCAGCAGGAAGCCCTATTGCAGGAATCTTCCTACAACAGGCTACTAGTAGAATATAACTTTCTAGTAGTTCTCACTGAGCCAGTTAAGTGGCTACGCAGTTATCTTCTCAGTAAGGAGGAAGGTGAAGGCATTAATTATCAAGGCTTCATGGTGTCTTCATAAGAATTTACGAAAACCAGAGACAGAACTGCAGGACGTTTGCCTGTTCTATAATATGCACTGTCTCTGCTCGTCCAGAGTCATTTCCTTGTGTCAGTTGCAAACGAATTTGCCTCACAGCGAGCTCTGTGGTGGCTCTCAGTCTGTCTTTCTCTGACATCCAGGCCAGAATTCCCATAAATATCACTCTAAGTGTATGAGTTTCCTCCTAAATGAGAGGGTCTTTACCTCTGGAAAATTAATGAGTTTACAACACTGTACACAACGTCTGTAAAACCTAGCTAGGAAAGTAACGGGATTTATTATAAAGGGCGAGAGCACACGCAGGCTGCTGGCCAACAAGACTTGTCTCTGCCAACTCCCATCAAGTCAGTGGGCCCAGGAAGAGTTCATCTATTTGTGTTTAAATGAAAAGTGAGAAGAATAACCCAGCACACTGAAAGAACAAAAAAGATTAAATAATCTTCCAACTTTAAAAATACACTGTTTTGAATATATTCAACTCCAACTACAGGCTGAATTCCAATTTCAGCACCTTACTTAAGGAAAAGGTTAGAGGCTTACTCCACAAATTAGTACAATATATATTTCCTTATGCTGTGTAGCGTTAGTCATTGAAATAATACATATCCAGCCGTATGTTTCTCCATACAAATGGTTTTTACATAATTAAGATAAGTGTGAGTTTGGATTCTCTGTTTTAAACTTGGAATTACATCATATGCTTCTGGGATCAGAAATCCTTCATAAGCTTTCCCTGGTGCCAGGGCTCCACTACAGTGTCGGTGAGGTCGCTGATGGCCCGCATCCTGTGGGCATTTTCCTGTCGCCGTCCCTAGTTCACCTGTCCCTGGCTTCTGGCCCCCGTGGCGGTGTTTTCTTGGTCCACCCTCCTCCCTGAGTTGCTGTGACTGATGGCTGGTTTCCCTCCGTCTGTCTGCTTTCCCTGCCCGGCCACTGCCTGTGGCGGCTCCTGGAGGTGTGGCCTCTCCTCTCCTCACTTGATTTGTCTCCTCGGGTCATCTCAGGCCTCCTTGGGGCTCTGATGATAACTTGTGATGATGAGTCACACATTTCACCTTCCACCCCAGACCTGTATGCCTGACAAGTGTCTCCACCTTCCCCTTGGAGGTCAACATCTCTGTGTCCACAAATGAGCCCAAGATCTCCCCCAGGCCTGGCCCTTTCAGGATCAGCCAGCGGGAGAAATGGCACTATCTCTGTCCTGTTCAAACCAGAAAGCCAGGAGTCACCCTGGACAATTCATCCCTCCTCCCCAATCTAATCGATTTGTGGCCAGATCCCTAACTGTCACCTTCTAAGGTCCCACTTTCAAACCCATCCAACCTGCAGCTTCCTGGTGCAGCTGCCTACATGACATGCCTATAATGTCTGTCCTTCCCTTTGCTCCTTTCCTGTTATTAATAACCAGCTAATTAATACAACAGTGTCCATTTTATATTTATATTTAGGTTTCCTGGCTTTTGCTATCATAATATGCAATAAAAATAACTTTAAATCTTAAATATTATTTTTTAATTATTCTGTCATTTGTTAAAAATAAAGGCTGTTGGGACCTGGCTGGGTAGCTCAGTTGGTCAGAACATACACAAGAACCAACTAAAGATGCATAAATTAACAAACAACAAATTGACCTCTTTTCCTCCCTCTCACTCTCTAAAATTATTTTATTTTAAAGTTAATAAGGGAAGGAAGGAAGGAAGGAAGGAAGGAAGGAAGGAAGGAAGGAAGGAAGGAAGGAAGGAAGGAAGGAAAGAAAGGAAGGAAGGAAGAAGACTATTTTTAAAATAAGTTACCTTCTTGGAATATTCAGGCTTCCCATCCTCTCCTACATTAATACTGTTAAGGGAACATAATGAATTTTTTCATGTGAATTTCACTGTAGTTTTCCTAGGCATTTCAATTTTGTTGTTGTGACTGTGAACTGTGATTAATTTTGCCATTATTTTTTTTTTATATATTTATAAAGCAAACATTTCCTGGGGGAAATAAAAACAACTCATTTGTGTACCTAAGGTTAATGAAGTCAGGAGGGCTCTCAATGCAACTGAAAATTTTTTCTGTTTTGGTTTTTCTTCGAAGCAACAGAGTATCGTTCTCCAAGTTAAATCTTACGCAGAACCTCATACATAAAAAATGGAAGTGTAGTTGCCTGTTTGAAAAAGAAGATGAGGGCGCCCGCTGGTTTTTCTCAGTGGTTAGAGCACTGGCCCATGGACCCAAGGGTGCAGGTCCGATTCCAGTCAAGGATATGTAGCTGGGTTGCAGGTTCAATCCCTGGACCTAGTAGGCGTGCTTTCAGGAGGCAACCAATAGAAGTTTCTCTCTCACATCACATGTTTCTCTCTCTCTTCCCCACCTTCCTCCCTCCCTTCCACTCTCTCTAAAAATCGATGGGGGAAAAAATCCTCGAGTGATGGTTAACCAAAACAGTTTTTTAAAGAAATGTTGGATGAGGGATGGCCCGAAGCCCTGCAGGCTCTGCCTCCTGCCTCCTCCTCACTCAGTCCCTGAAGTATTTTCCAACAACTGGCTGCCTGGCTACCTATCGCTGTGGGCTCCTTAGTATAACCTCTTGTTTACTTGTTTTGTTTTTTAACATTTCATTCCACTTCAAGGTGTTTTACCATTTCTATTCGTGACCCCTGGCATGCCTGAGTTTCAATGAGATCCTGCCTTCCTGAGCTGGGCCACTCGCAGCTCCTCTCTCCTAAGTCAACAGAACAGGAAACTGAACATAGGTTTGAAGATGTGGTCAGTTCAAGAAAGAATGTGATACTTTGTACTATTCTATCCCTTGTCACAAAAGAGAGAAGTGTTTCAATTCTATGACTTAGAAATATAGGGCCAATGTGCAACTAAATAAGTAGGTGGATTATATTATGTGTGAATTTTACTCCAGCAGAGAATAGAGATATTAATGAAATACTGATAGATAAGGAGAAAGTATTTGTGATAGGACTAGAAGCATCTTTAAAACAAACACTCAAAAGAAAATTTGTGTTCTAAATGTCCACAAAAGATTTTTTATTACTAAAATTTTTAGGATAAAGAAATTTAAAAAATAACTATAATATTTTAAAAAGCTATTGAGTATTTCATGTTTACAATGAGAAAAAAACTTGAACCTTAAAGAACAGACTGAGTAGAGTACTGAAGGCAACAAGAGCGAAAGATGGTCAGACCTGCTATATGTGTCCTCATACGAGGCTTAAACACTGACTTGTTAAACAAAAAGCAAATTGTACTCATTGTTTCCAAGTTTGTGAGACTAACTATTCAATGACATCAGATGGCAATTCCTCTTACAGAAAAGAGCTTTTACTCTAATCCAGCCCATATATTACCCTCCATGGCAATTTGGGAACAGAATGATATCTATCGATAATCCAGTTTTAAAACCAATTCAGTTTTTAAAGTGTTGGCAATAAACAAAAATTTGAAGAAATATATGCAGTATTTTAAAATAACTGAGAATTATGACAACTTAAGTTACTCTCAGATATAAGATCTTAGAGGGAGTGGATACACTTACCTCAGGGCCGTACAATCCACAAGGGCTATAGCCACAAGGGGAAGAGGAAGATACTCATTCCGTACAACATGAATAGCATTCTAAGGGGGGTGTTACTAATTATAACTCAGAACTGTCAGTTAAATCCTAATAATGAGTAGGCATACTCCCCCTCACGTGAACTTCTTCTCAGAAGGAAAGTAAAGGGACTGGATTCTGGAAAGAAATGGCGAGGCTATGGAACTCCAAGAGGGATGCTGGCTCCTCAGTCCCAGGACATGACTTGCATCCCCAGGTCCTGCCTTACAGTCTCCTGGGTATGAAATATAATTTGTGTAATTTGTCCTTGAAAAAGTCACGGTGGAGTCTGAGGACCCTCAGTTTTTGTCCTTCAGTATCCTAAATGCACATAATCTCAACATCCAGAAATATTCTTTGATTTGTTCTTCCTCTGAAATCTTGTGTCCTTGGGATCAAAGCCTCTCTCATTAGCACCAAATAAAGCCCAGTGAGGAGTTTTGGCCATATAATCCTCTGCGCTGAAAGTTTTTGATCCACCACTGTCTTCGTATTCCTGGATAAGCTCCTGGAAGCGGTCATAATCAATCCACGTCCACCATTCTCTATCAATCTTAAACTAGAAAGGAAAAAAGTAAACAGGTCAGAAATAAAAACATCCATTAAGAAAAATCAAATAAATATCAAAAAAGTTAAAATGAGCCTGATCATTCATCCCTATCATGATAAAGAAAATTTTGTCATGCTGCAGATATGATTACATATCAAAGCAAAATAGTCAAAGGAGAATTTCTGTTACCTTAGTACTCTAGCCAAACTGAACCTGGAAGACCAAATTGCTGAATAAAGAATACATTCTGCAATTGAAAGTCAAGTTTATCTTGACAAAAATCAATGAAAAGTTAACTAAGTTTTTGGCATTATCAGATGTTAATGGTCAAATTAATTCTAATTTTTCTTGTCACTATTTTTTCTTTTATTAAAATGTTACTTTCAGTTAGTTTATATTCAATATTACTTTGTATTAGTTTCAGATGTACAAGTATATACTTTGCAAAGTGATCCCCCCGATAGCTCAACTACCCACCTGGAACCATATATAGTTATTACAATGTTTTTGACTATATTTCCAATGTTTTAATTTACCTCCCCATAACTATTTTCTAATTACCAATTTGCCCCCAACTGCCCTCCCCTGCAGGCCTGATCACCCCCAACTGCCCTCCCCTGCTGGCCTGGTCACCCCCAACTGCCCTCCCCTGTAGGCCTGTTCCCACCCAACTACCCTCCCCTGCAAGCTTGGTTCCCCACCCCCAACTGCCCTCCCCTGCAGGACTGGTCCCCACCCCTCCCAGCTGTCCTCCTCTGCTGGCCCAATCACCCCTAACTGCCCTCCCCTGCAGGCCTGATCACCCACAACTGCCCTCCCCTGCAGGCCTGATCGCCCACAATTGCTCTCCCCTGCTGGCCATCTTGTGGAGGCCATCTTGTGTGCGACAGTGATGGTCAATTTGCATATTGCCTCTTTATTACATAGGATGCTTTTTACCCTTCATTTTGTCTATATGGTGTATCATATGAAATGATTTGCAGATTTTAAAACTTGCATCCTCTGAATAAATCCCACTTCATCATAATGTATGATCTTTTTAATGTATTACTGAATTCAGTTTGCTAATATTTTGTTGAGGATATTTGCATCTATGTTCATCAGGGATACTGGCCTATAATTTCCTTTCTTTGTAATGCCTTTATCTGGTTTTTGAATCAGGATACTGCTGGCCTTGTAAAATGAGCTTAGGAGTCTTTCCTCCTCTCAAAGTATTTGGAGAAGTTTGAGGATAGGTGTTAGTTCTTCTTTGAGTGTTTGGTAAAATTCACCTGTGAAGTCATCCAGTCCATGACTTGTATTTCAATTTCATTGGTTGTATAGGTTCCTGGTTAAAGAATATTACAATATGCTGAGGTTAACTGACATCTGATTTTAAAATATTTTTTATAATAGTTGGCACAAATATTATATTAGTTTCAGGTATATAACATAGTGATTCAACATTTATATACCTGATGTGATCACCAAGATAAGTCTAGTAACCATCTGTCACTGTGCAAACGTATTGCAATATTATTGACTATATTCCCTGTGCTGTAATGACATGTGATTTTTTTTTAAACCAAAAACTAAGAGCTTTAGGAGGGAAAATGCCAAACTAATGAAAGAATGTATCAATGAATCATGAGAAATTTTTTTCTAATAAGATCATTTTTTTTAAATAGTGCCCCAAGGGCTCTTTGAACTCTAAAATTCAAGATGTAAAATCTATATTTCCCGTCATTTTCCCTCCCAAGACTGACTGCTCTTGAATGTTCTCTAGTGCTATGAAAGCAATCATTGTCAGCTCCGGGTGCTGAACCTCAAAACTAGAGCCCTCCCTTTCCTAACCCCTCATATCCAAAATATGACCAGGCCCCATCAATTCTTCCTTAGCAGCATTTCACCATGCCCTGACACGCCCTAACACAGGCCCTCAATTCTGGGACTCAGCAACAGTCTTCCAATTTTAGTGTTTAAGGTTTCCAAATTCTGCAGACTGCTTGAGATTACTATGCCAACTGTAGAATAGAGCCCCATTATCTAGGACATATGGCCTAAATATCAAACCTCCATCCAGAGGCTTTTCATGAACTAGATCTATCATATGACTTCCATGCTATTTCCTGTCTCATTAACACCTATTTAAGCCTCAGGTCTCCTCATTAATGTACTTTGCTCTGGGAAGATTTTCCAAATCACCTGAGCCTATGACAGTTCCTCTGCCACAGGACTTCACTGTACCTTGAACTTGCCCAACAAGAGCATATTATAATTGCTTCAGAAGTTACCTCCCGGGAAAAACCAAGAAGTGGCATAGGTAAACACCTGAAATTGCTGCCTTGCACAATAACTTCAAGACTCCAACTAAAAGACAAAACGGACATCATCCAGAATCACTGGAAGGCTGGCTAAGTGGAAATTCTACAACTACGTATAAGGGAAGAGAAAAGCACACTGAGACTCAGAGGAGCTGCAGAAGTAAAGGCAGAAGTACGGAGGAGTACATGAGCAGAGAGGACTGGCAACCGAGTATGCAGCTGTATTTTTCAAGCAGGAGGGAGACAAAAGCTCCCAACTGCTCTAAACTCCAGTTCCAGGCAAGACTCTGGGGACCCAGACTCATATGGAAAGAAACTGGACTGTCTGGCAATGGGCGGAACTCGAGGGCAGTTTTCTCTCAGAGGTGCTTACAGCAATTACCACGGGACACTGAGACCTGGAGGCCTCTTAGCGCAGGGCTGACGGGAAGCCATTGCTGTTTGCTCTGCCCTGAGACTCCACCCAACCAAACTATGCACAGAGGCTTTTGTATATGAATGGCCTGGTCCTTTGAAATCTAAACCTACTTAACAAAAAAGGTGAGACCCAGAATATCCAAAAGAAGGACCAAGACCCCACACCAGCTTGCATTGCTTCACAGCTGGACCTCATCTGGGCACCTCCAAAACACAAACAAAGAGGAGGAATCTGCAGATCTCTCGTAGCTCCTGCTGGGTGGCTTCAAGCAGAGGCTAAATTTGCATCTACTTGGAGATTCAAGAGCCAGTGTACCCAGGAGTCAGAGTAGGACCATCCAGATTACAACTCCTCAGATCCATAAGGGACACACTCAGGGGGCAGACTCAGTGAGTACCAAAGCCCCAATGAATCAAGTCTTGCCTCATAAGAGTGTCTCCAGCACAGAAGTTCTTCCATCCTACACACAGCTGATCCTCAAAGCCTGGAGGTCAATTCCTCCCAGTGATACCAACAATAATCAAGGCTGAACTACAACAAGACTGTGCACACAGCCCACAAAAGGATGCACCAAGAGTGTCCACCTCAGGTAGTTAGGGATGCTGAGCTTCTGGGCCCTATAGGACACCTAGCACACAAAGCCACTCTATCAACTCAGGGAAACAGCCAAAATGCAGAGAAAAAACAAACAAACAAACAAACAAAAAAAGGTCACAAATGAAAGAAATGGAGGAAAGCAAATGACTGGATATAGAGTTCAAAACCACGGTTATAAGGTTTATCAAGAATTTTCTAGAAAAGTCCGATAAATTTAGTGAGACCCTCGAGGATATGAAAAAGAACCAACTAGAAATTATGCATACACTGACTTAAATAAAAAATAATATACAGAGATCCAACAGCGGGCAAGAGAATTGCAAGAATCAAGCCAAAGATTTGAAATACAAAGAAGCAAAAAACAAACAAACAAACAAACAAACAAACAAAACACACACACATACAAAACACCCAACCGGAAAAGAAAAAGAATCCAAAAATATGAAGATAGTATAAGAGGAGCCTCTGGGACAACTTCAAGCATACCAACATCAGAATTATGGGGGTTCCAGAGAAGAGAGAGAACAAGATACAGAAAACCTATTTAAAGAAATAATGACAGAAAACTTCCCCTACCCAGTGAAAGAAACAGACTTATAAGTTGAGAAAACAAGGAGTACCCCCCCCAAAAATAAAAAGGAATCCAAAGAGGACCACCCAAGATACATTGTAATTAAAATGCCAAGAGTAAAAGACAAAGAGAGAATATTAAAAGCAGCAAGAGAAAAACAGTTACCTACAAGGGAGCACCCATATGATTATCAGCTGATTTCTCAACAGAATCTATGCAGGCCAGATAGGAATGGCAAGAAATATTCTAAGTGATGAATAGCAAGAACCTACAACCAAGATTAATTTACCCAGCAAAGCTATCATTCAGAATTAAAGGTCAGATAAAGAGCTTCATAGATAAGAAAAAGTTAAAGAAGTTCATCACCACCAAGCCAGTATTATATGAAATGCTGAAAGGTATTCTTCAGGAAGAGGGAGAAGAAGAAAAAGGTAAAGATAAAAATTATGATCAACAAATACATATCAACAAGTGGATCTAAAAATCAAGTGAATAAAAAAACTGTTGAATCGAATAAGCTGATGAATATAATAGAATCAGGGGCATAAAAAGGGAGTGGACTGACAATTCTCAGGGGGAAAGGGGTATGGGGGGTGCATGAAGAGACTGGATAAAAATCGTACACCTATGGGTGAGGATGGTCAGCTGGGGGAGAGGGGGTAAGGGCAGAGGGTGTGGTGGGAACTGGGTAGAGGGGAACTATGGGGGGGAAAAAGAGGAACAACTGTAATAATCTGAACAATAAAGATTTATTTTATTTTATTTTTTTAAAGAAGTTACCTCCCTCATCCTACTCAACCATGTCAAGACTGCTTGCTTTGTGAATATATACCAGGCCAGGACTTCTCACAGTTCTAGATGCTAGAATTCAGCAAACAGCCATCTTCTCTCTATGGCTTCACATGGCCTTTTCTAAGTGTGTAAACAAGGTTGGGTTGGGAGATTGGGGGTGGGCATGCTCTAAAGTCTCTTCATATAAGAAAACGAATCCTGACAGATTAGAGTCCCACTCTTATGGCTTCCTTTAGCATTGATTACTTTCTTAGAGGCCCCATCTCAAATACAACACATGACTTTTGAAGTGACATAAACATTCTGTCTATGGCGACCCTTAAATTAGCCATCAGGAGGAGAACCAAGATGGTGGCATAGGTAAATGCCTGTACTTGCTGCCTCCCACAACCACATCAAAATTACAACTAACATACAGAACAACTATCATCCAGAACCAAGGGAAAGCTGGCTGAGTGGAAGAACTACAGCTAGAGAGGGAAAGAAGAAAGCACACTGGGACTGGTAGGAGGTGTGGAGGCGCGGAACGGGCTGGTCCGGCACCCAGGAGAGCTGCTTTTTAACTGGGACAACATCAAATGTAACAACATTCACATCATAGGCATTTCAGAAGGATAAGAGAGAGGGGAAGATATGAAAACCTAATCCTATCTAATAAAGAGGGAATATGCTAATTGACCCCCATGCCGTCATACAGATAGAGGTGCCCACTGTCAATAAGTAGGGAATATGCTAATTGATTGTCACACCCTCAAAAATGGCAGTACCCACAGCCACAAGATGGTGGTGCCCAGTCCCCTCAGCCCCACCAGGGTACCTGCCTCCAGAGTCCCCCAGTCCCCTCAAACCCCCAGCCACCCAGTGACTCCCAAGACAGGTATCCAGGGCTGGCCAAGGCTTTGCTGCTGACAGTGGCAGCAGCAGAGGTGAGATGGGTCGCCTGATTGCTGGGTTGCCTCCTGCCCCTGAGGGCTCCCAGACTGTGAGTTGGGGCAGGCTGGGCTGAGGGACCCTCCCTCCAATGCATGAATTTTCATGCACCAGGCCTCTAGTTATAGAAATAAGGATGGAAAACTTCCCTAACCTGTTGAATGAAACAGACACAAAAGTCCAGGAAGCACATAGAGTCCCAAACAAGATGAACACAAAGAGGCCCACCCCAAGACATGCCATAATTAAACTAGCAAAGGTTAAAAACAAAGAGAGAATCTTAAAAGTAACAAGAGAAAAGCATTAGTTGTGTACAAGAGAGCCCCCATAGACTATCAACTGATTCTGCAACAAAAACTCTGCAGGCCAGAAGAGAATGGCATAAAACAGTGGTCGGCAAACTGCGGCTCGCAAGCCACATGCAGCAACTTGGCCCCTTGAGTGTGGCTCTTCCACAGAATACCACGTGCGGGCGCGCACATACAGTGCGGTTGAAACTTTGTGGCCCATGCGCAGAAGTCAGTTTTCGGCCTGGGCGAGTCTATTTTGAAGAAATGGCGTCAGAATACTCAAGGGGCCTATGAGTCGCATGTGGCTCGTGAGCCACGGTTTGCCGACCTCTGGCATAAAACATTCAGAAATGAAAAGCAACCAAGATTACTTAACCAGCAAGGCTATCGTTTAGAAAAGGACAGATAAAGGGTTTTCCAGATAAGAAAATACTAAAGGACATGAGTTCATCACCACCAAACCAGTATGACAGTAGCCCACCCTTGATCTTTCTAATTTTCTGGTATATAATGGTGATATAATTCACATACCATAAAATTCAACCTTTTAAAGTATACAATTCAGTGGCATAGTTATGAACATGTGCAACCAACACCACCATATAATTCAAGAACATTCTCATCACCCCAAAAAGAAATCCCATAGATATCAGCAATCACTTCCCAATCTGTTCTTCCCTAGTCCCTGGCCATCAATCTACTTCCTGTCTCTATGGGTTTACCTATTCTGAACATTTCCTATAAATGAAAACATACAATATGTGGCCTTTTGTGTCAGACGTTTTTCCACCTACTACAGTGTTTTCAAGGTTCATCCATGTCTACTACTTTAAAAAAGCATTTTTAATGGAGAATTTGAATTAGAAACTAGGCAGAGTAGTATAAACCTCTATGTATCCATCATTTAGCCTCAACAACCCCCAACCCATCCACACATCCCATACCTCACCTGAATTGCATACCAGATACTATATTGTTTCTGTGAAAATATTTCCATAAGGACATTTTATAATAGCTGTTCTAACACTGAGCCTCCTGATCAGTTTCCCTTCTTATCTTAATGGCCTACATCTACAAAGAGCTGAATTTTTTCTTTGCTAGGCATTATTTACTTAAGAAATACACTGGATTCATATATCCTGCATAATAAAAGCACTGAAGGGGAAAAATGGAAATAGAGTCCTGAACCAAAATCTCTGATCTAAAGTATGACAAATACCTCAGTATTTCTTGACAAGTCAGAAACACTTATATGGAGGTTGTTTACTGTTTTGTTTTCCCTCGTCACCCCGGAACAGGCCTAGAGGTTATTACAAGCAGTTTTGCTTTTGTTTTTTAGCATGCACCATTACAATCCAGAAAGCACTTCAAATGCCTATGTGAAGATAAATACAAAGTAATTTCACACAAAAGAAGAGCATTTATGAGCCCAACAGACAGACTTTAGGGTTTTTAAAAAAATTATTGTTTTAGGAAAGGTAGCAAACAAGCAGATAGTCACTGTTATACGGTAAGGGGAAAATAAGAGAAAAAAGAAGAAAGGAGAAATAAGAATAAGGGTGGCAGAGAATTCATATTCACATTACTCTTACCTTTTTGTGAGCAATCAGAAGGCAATTGGAATGTTCATGTTCACAAGCAATTTCATAGTCAGGGATCAGGTCCACCAGTTCACGGACGAAGCGTACAACTTCCTCATGCCAGGGCACGTTGGCCATGGTAAGACTGCTGGCTGAACTCTCTCCACAGTAGGTGACACCCTGTGGAAACATGACAATAGTTAGAGACAATTACAGACCTGTTTAAATGTCATAGAGAAAATTTCAGAGCTAAAAAGATTTCTAGAGTTCATCCAAATCAATCCCATCTGTATTTTAAAGTGAAGAAGGTGTCACAAAGATGATAAATTGCTTGGGAACTAATACAAGGAGTTAGTGACAAGGTCAGCGCTGGCTCCCGGGCTGGTCACTGTTCTTTTCACTCTATGGCAGTGCTGGTGCTTGGGTACCTGTGCTTGTGTCATGTACCACAATATTATTTGAGCCAATAACATATCTTTCCATTCAGATTCATTTGGGATCTATAATAGATTAATTCTCAAGGGGTGACAGTCCACTAGAATAATAATGCTGGCATAGTTGACAGCCATAAAAATTCACCGAACAGTTTATTCACTGGGAAAATAAACTGAGCTCCCATTTTATGGTACAGTTTAGATATGAGGATGGTAAATTTTATATTAAAGGCTGGATAGGGATCCCATTATTATTACTTATTCTTTTTTTAAATATATTTTATTGATTTTGTACAGAGAGGAAGGGAGAGAGATAGTTAGAAACATCGATGAGAGAGAGTCATCAATCAGTTGCCTCTTGCACACCCCCCCACCGGGGATATGCCCGCAACCAAGGTACATGCCTTGGACTGGAATCGAACCCGGGACCCTTCAGTCCCCAAGCCGACGCTCTATCCATTGAGCCAAACCAGACCCGGCTATTATTACTTATTCTTTAAAGGTATCACTTTGTAACGCATTTTGTACACACACACACACACTCATGCCAAATAGAAAATACTTACGAGGATGTGTATAAAAGCATTTAAGCACACCTACATGTATCTCACCTCTATAAAAATTCTTATTCAGTGAAATAACTTTGGTTCTGTTTTGAACTCTACCTGACAGCCCAGTCATATAAAATCCAAACACATTTCATAACTAAGTTCTCTACTGGTAGATTACATAATGATAAATAATTCATTTTTAAATAATATTGGATATCTTATCTTTGTAGGCTCTTCAAATACTTCAGAATCAAACTTTCTTAACAAATGGTTTGAATATTCTAGATATGCTACTATTAAGTAGGGAATACTGAAATAAAAAAACCTCTCTCTCTCTCACACACACACACACACACATACACTCATTAAAGGGGGTAGAATGACATTAATGAAAAATCCACAAATGAACTCTGCAGAGTGACCCTGACCCTACAGATGGCAGAGCCAGGACTTGGCTGAAAACTCAGATGAGCTCTGCAGAACGCTCCGTTCCAGATGGCTGTGCAAGAAGATTGCTGGTCTACTGGACTGAGATGACCTTTGCTGGACACAAACCTTAGGTGACCCAGCTTAGTTCTAGCAAACAAGAGAATCTTCTTTATGAGCCCAATAATTTATTGAATTCATTAAATTGAGTCTGAGTTGCCAGTGAATTAAAAAAGCAAGTAGTTTTAAAAAATCTTTAAGAAAGCATGGCTGAAAAATTATGCTAAACATACCCAAATGTGTGAAAGGATTTATTGATAAAATTGGTCACAAAAACAAACTTTACTTCAATTTAAATACTGTTCATAATGCATGAATTATGTGAACACCCATGTATGAAACAGTTATTTCAAAGGAATTTATTTTTAATATTTAAAAAGTTAGTTCATTGAAGCAGAGATTTTTAGATAAGATCTTATATTCATGACAATGGCTTTGGTTTAATATTTCTTATTCAGCAATAATAAATCATGAAATATTAAGAAGATATTTGGCTTGGAAATGAAATTAGAGGATGAATGCCACCCAGTTCATTATTATGCCTTCACATAATATTTCTCTACACATTTCTCTAAAGCATGATGCTTTATAGCACTTCCCAAAGCACTTTCACATAAAAGTTCTCTTTTAAAAAAAAATATATATATTTTATTGATTTTTTACAGAGAGGAAGGGAGAAAGATAGCTAGAAACGTCAATGAGAGAGAAACATCGACCAGCTGCCTCCTGCACACCCCCCACCGGGGATGTGCCCTCAACCAATGTACATGCTCCTGACCGGAATCGAACGCGGGACCTTTCAGTCCGCAGACCGACGCTCTACCACTGGGCCAAACCGGCTTCGGCAAAGTTCTCATTTTAACCAAACCAAATCTGCTAGGGTTGGCAGTATGGGTAGCTTGAACCATCCACTGAGCGTGAGCCTTCACCATGACAGAAATGTTATGGGCAGAAACCGGTTTCAGTGAACCTGTCTGTGAACCCCTGAGCCCTCACCAGCATAGCTCCTAATGCCTCCTCTCTGGTGCTCTCTGCCTTGGCTTCTTCACTTCTTCCAAACTCTGGTCTAACAATGCCCTGTGCTGACTTTATTCCTGCTCACTTAACCCTGAACTATCTAAAACCACTATCAGTTTCCTTCATATTACAGCTATCTGCTACCTTCTCACCCCACCACCACACCCCAGACCCTCCCCATTTATTACCAACATCATGTTCTTTCCTCACAACTTTGAAAAAAGAACAACTTTAAGAAAAGAGATGGGCCGAAACCAGTTTGGTTCAGTGGATAGAGCGTCGGCCTGTAGACTCTAGAGTCCCAGGTTCGATTCCGGTCAAGGGCATGTACCTTGGTTGCGGGCACATTCCCAATAGGGGCGTGCAGGAGGCAGCTGATCAATGTTCCCCTCTCATAGATGTTTCTACTTCTCTATCCCTCCCCCTTCCTCTCTGTAAAAAAATCAATTAAAAAAATTTTTTAAAGAAAGAAAACAGATGGGCACAATGTGGCAACTGGAAAGTAGTCATTCACTCCAGAATCTACAGGTTGAGGAGTAACAAGCAGACCTAAAAAAAGGTCCCAAAGAACAGGACCATATTTGTACATCTTCACGTTGTAGTGAAAAGCACAGCCCACAGCATTTTCAGGGTAGAGGGATGACATGTTTGGGGTGTAATGCTGCAGAATGTCATTAAAAAACCAACAGCCCAAGCTTCTCAACATGGCTTTGAGGCCAATTCTTCTCTGGACCCACAACCAATCTATGCTGAAAGACCTAAAGATCAAGTAACAAACTCTTCTATGATAAGAAATCCCAGAACTCTTTTCTGGTCTAATATAAAATTTCATTCATATTACTCAGAATTTGTCTACTCTTTAATGATCATGAACCAACTGATAAACACTAGTTAGGTATTACCATGTACATGAACAACTGCTATTATTCCTTATCTTCACAGAAAGCGTGAGGCTATGCTAACCCATGTTTCGAAAGATGCATTCTGCAAAGATTGGGTTCTTATAGACAGTTGCAGTGCAAAGGGTAAGAGAGTCTTGTATCATTTGACAGCAAATAATTACTGAGTACTTACTATTCTCAAGGTACAATGCCAGGAGAGAATACAAAGGCAGTATTTCATTTAAAAATAGTGTTATAAAAGTTTTCAATGAGACAAATGTTTGTAACATGAAACACATTTTCACAAACAAGTAATAATGATGGTTAAGATTCTCGGGATAGCAAATAAAGGCCTATTTAAGCCTAACGAAGCTAAAATATATGTTAATTTATTGGGCATATAATAGAAAAAAAGTATTTTACAAGACTAGAACTGAAAGAAAAGAGGAAATCAATGTAATGAATAGCTTCTATTGATTTAGTTTAAATAAATGTGCTTAATGGAAAGTGAGTTAAACATTTACTGAATCCAGGCAAACCCATTACCCCAATGAATTTCTCAAAATAAAGCTATTACATTGCTACTATTATTCTAATTTTAATCTTGAGGAAGTATAGACTCAAGGAAGATAGTAACCTGTCCCAGCTCGTTCAGCACCTTTCAGGAATGTATCAAAGCTGTGCTCTTGCCCTATCCGATTTGGCTCAGTGGATATAGCATCGGCCTGCGGACTGAAGGGTCCCAGGTTCGATTCCGGTCAAGGGCACATGCCCAGGTGTGTGTGCTTGATCCCTAGTAGGGGGCATGCAAGAGGCGGCCAGTCAGTGATTCCCTCTGATCACTGGTGTGTGTGTGTTTTTTTTAAATATATTTTATTGATTTTGTACAGAGAGTAAGGAAGAGAGAGAGAGAGAGTTAGAAACATCGATGAGAGAGAGTCATCGATCAGCTGCCTCTTGCACACTCCCTAGTGGAGATATGCCCACAACCAAGGTACATGCCCTTGACCGGAATCAAACCTGGGACCCTTCAGTCCCCAAGCCGACGCTCTATCCATTGAGCCAAACTGGTCCCGACTGATCACTGGTATTTCTATCTCTCCTTCTCCTCTCAAATCAATAAAAATATATTTTAAAAAAGAAAAAGAAAAAAAGCTGTGCTCTTCCCTCTTCCCCACTTGAGACACCAGTGTGTGCAGACTATGGGGGACTCTGGCACCCACATATCCTCAGACAAAGGATATGAACAGTACTGTGCTTGCTTCCGCAAAGAGCCTCAGGCATTATCACTAACCCAAGTCAATTGGCACTATCCATTTCACATCTTCAGAGCCATTTTGTGACCTGGAGGCACTATTAAATTTTAACACCAATCCCTTTTGAGGGATAGGTCCTGGAAAACGTTTTCACCAACAGCATAGATAAGGGATAAATCGCCAAATGCCATTCTGTGCCAGTGGGTAAATTTTGTCCTAATTCAGTCTTCAACTGAAGTTAAAAGTACCTACTCTTCTGTGCTTTAAACGCAAGTCCTGTCTCTGTCAGAGCTGACCTCCACACTTACACTGAGTGGTCAGATTATTATGATCTCCTATGTAATAAAAGGCTAATATGCAAATTGCCCCCTTGACCAGGAGTCTGATCAGCAGGCATGCCAGCCAACCATCCATGTCCCCTCCCTCTGGCCAGACTAGCCAGACCCCACCCATGCACGAATCCATGCACTGGGCTTCATATATATATGTATATATATGTAAACACATATATACACATATGGCCAGATTATTATGCATTCAGAGATCATAATAATCTGGCCACTCATTGTATATGATCTGTGGCCTCTTTGAACCTATATGTGGTTCAAATTTAATAAGACCAACAAAGAACGTATAAAATTACTTCCCAAACTTATCTTCCTCCTGCCTGGATCTTTCCATCTCAGTAAACTGTTCCACATCCACACAACTGTTTAAGCTAAAAATCCAATGCTATTATGATTCTTTTTGTTCTTTCACTCTCTACATATCATCATCTAGCAATAAGTTCTGTTGGTTTTACTTCCAAAATTTATCCTAAATGCAGCCACATTTCTCTAACATATATTACCAATGACCTTCCCCAATCTATCACAAGTCTTGTTTGGATTAAGCAATAGCTTTGTAACTGGTCTGCCTACTTCTACTACTGCCCTCTGTACTCTATTTATGACAGCAGCAAGGTATTGTTTTATAATCATAAATCAGACATATAATCCTCCAGCTTAAAACACTTTGGAAGTACATCTAGTATAAAGAAAAGCTTACCATGAAATTTGGTATAAAATCCAATCCTCTTATCCTTGCCTGAAAGACCTAACAGAATCTAGCCCCAGCCCACTTCTCTGATCCATCTTCTGTCACTGCCAACTCCAGCTGCCCCACAGAGATCACAGAGGACCTCCATATACTATCTGTACCATTTCCTCGAATGCTCTAATCCCAAGCCTTTGCATATTTATGTTGCTTTTTAGTACGTTTTGAAAAAGTCATCTTCTCAGAAAAGCCTTCTGGCTTATGATATCTAGAATAGCCAACCACAATATCAGCAAAACAATATATGCATCAACCCACTTACAGGAATCCATCCCAAAGAAACACTGGCAAAGCCCTGGCTGGAGTGGCTCAATTGGTTGGAGCAACAATTCCAATCAGGGCACATATCTAGGTTTCAGGTTCAATCCCTGGTCAGGGATGCATACAGGAGGCAGCCGATTGATGTATTTCTCTCACATATTAGGTTTCAAACTGGATCAATTATTTCAACAGTATTTAAAATATATATATTATTATATATATATATATATATATATATATATATATATATATATATATATATATGGAAGGGAAAGGGAGAGAGCCTGCATGCCCCACATGCATGCTCGCGCTCGCGCGCTCTCTCTCTCTCTCTCTCTCTCTCTCTCTCTCCTTCCCCATTTGCTCCCTCTCTGGAATAAAAATAAATAAAGGTCCTGGGTTCGATTCCGGTCAAGGGCATGTACATTGGTAGCGGGCACATCCCTGGTGGGGGGTGTGCAAGAGGCAGCTGGTCGATGTTTCTCTCTCATCGACATTTCTAGCTCTCTATCTCTCTCCCTTCCTCTCTGTAAAAATTCAATAAAACATATTTTAAAAAAACAAATAAAAAATAAAAAATAAGCCCAACAAATAAAATGAATGAAATATTGGCAAAACCATGACACAGATAACCAGACATTATATGTCTCCTGCTGGAAGTATACAATACCACCAATAATCTTGAAATGCAAACACACACACACAAGAATCTGATCAATCTTCTCTTTTCTTATTTTATTTTATTTTATTGTTTCCATCTCTGTTTATCACTTAGATAAATCAATCTTTTCTTGATTTAACTACCAATCCACAGGAAATATAGAAAACATAGGAAAATACAATCAGCAGAATCTAAAATATAAAAATGGGGAACAAGCCAGGATAAATAATCACTTTCATCAACAAAATAAATTACAAAGAGGAAAAGGTATATGGAAGAGAAATTAAGAGAAAAATAATGTATTTACAATGAATGGCCCTGTTTGGATCCAGATTTAAAATTACCGTTGAGCCCAACCAGCATGGCTCAGTGGTTGAGTGTCGCCCTATAAACCAGGAGGTCACAGTTCCATTCTGGCCAGGGCACATGCCGGATGCAGGCTCCATCCCCAGTGTGGGGCATGCAGGCTCTCTCCCTTTCCCTTCTATATATATATAATATATTTTTTTTAAATACTGTTGAAATAATTGGTCCAGTTTGAAACCTAATATGTGCTAATACTTAAAAAGTATTGTTTAAGTTGTTTAGTTATGAGAAGAGTATTTTGCATAAGTGTTTAAAATGAATACACATCTTTTAGAGTTATATATTTAAACAGTTGTGAGTCAATGATATAATGTGGGAATTTGCTTCTAATAATATGATGAAGTGAGAAAATGGGTAAGAATATAGCTGAAACATGAGTTGACAATTTTTGAAGCTGGGTTATGGACAAATAGAGTAAATTAAACCAGTCTCTCCAATTTTTATATGTTTGAAATTTTCCATAATAGAAATTTATTTAAAAGCCAACCAATTATTCACTATAACACTTTAATTTCCCAGCATATTAATGTTACTACAGTTGACTCTTGAAAAGTATGGATTTGAACTGCACAAGTCCATTTATTGACACATTTTTCTCAATAAATACTATAAATGTATTTTCTCAACCTTATGATTTTCTTAATAAAATTTTCTTTCCTCTAGCTTACTTTATTGTAAGAATATAGAATATAACATATATAACATATTATACACACTGAGTGGTCAGATTATTATGATCTCTGAATGCATAATTGTCTGACCACTCAATGTATATATGCATATATATTAGAGGCGCGGTTCATGAATTCGTGCATGGAAGGGGAGGGGACATGGGCAGTTGGCTGGCCTGCCTGCTGGTCGAACTCCTGGTTGAGGAACAATTTGCATATTAGTCTTTTATTATATAGGATATATACTGAGTGGCCTGATTATTATACGTTCAGAGATCATAATAATATGGCCACTCAAGTGTATATCTTAATTGTTTCTATTATTAATAAGGCTCTGGTCTTAGTAGGCTTTTGGTAGTTGAGCTTATGGGGAATTAAAAGCTATACATGAATTTTCAAGAATGCTCCTAACCCTGCATTGTTCACTGGTCAACCATATGTAGTTTATAATTATTCAGTTTGTGACGATTGTCTACCTCTCACCAAAATTACGTTTTTGTGAGAACTAATGCTTAGTTTTAACTGCTACTATTTCCAATGACTAGAACAGTGCTGGTTCTTGATTAATATTTCTGAATAAATACATAAACATCAGGCCTCCCATAGAATCTAAAAAATGTTAACTCTAGGATGATTAACAAAGCATCACCGGAAAAGGGCACAGCAGTGGCCAGCAGGGGCTTACCTTCACTTCGATGAAGTCAGGCTGCCCTAGAGACACCAGCTCAGCATAGGCTTGGAGTTCATCCACATTCCAGGCTTTAACTAGAGTCAGTCTGTAGACAGTCCGCTGTTGCTAAAACAAAGGAAAAGCCAACTTTGTTTTTATCTCAGCAGAAGTGATACCTAGGAAGACTTTCAAATTCCTTCAACCCATAGAGAACCCAGGTAAGGTGAAATCCAGCATGAATTTCTAAAAATTGAACTCATATCTTTTAGAAAAATGAAAAAGCTATAAACAAAGTAATAAGATTACCATAAGCCTTACAAAGGCAAAGATTAGCATATTTCTTTTCTTTCTCTCATAATATCTAACAATATTAGGCACCCAAAAGGTTCTTGACAAAGACGCATTGAATGAGATTTAGTAAAGAACAATAAATTGACCACACAGTAGCCAGTTATCAAGGGGGGTGGGGGGGAGATGAGCAGCTTTCCTGGCATAGTGTGTGAATATTTATATTTTTTAAAGTATAGTATCAGACAGGGATTCTTTCTCTTCTATGTAGAAATTGAACGAGTGTTAAACATTGAATAATTCATTCTCTACTCCATGATTTGTAATGTCTGCTTATTGTAATCAAGTTTTCATATATTCATGGATGTTTCTGAACTTTCTACTCTGTGATATTAGTTTTTTTTATCTTGTCACAGTACCTAACTATAGCTTTATAATGACTTGATATTTAGCACAAACAACCTTTGTTCTTCAAAATTGTTTTTCTTCAAAATCATCTTGCTTATTCTTGGCACCTTAATTCTTCTTATTTTATTTTACTTTATTTTTTTTTTAAACAAATACATGCAGGACTCAAGATCTCTTCATACTCTTCTTTTTTTTAATATATTTTATTGATTTTGTACAGAGAGGAAGGGAGAGAGATAGAGAGCTAGAAACATCGAGTCATCGAACAGCTGCCTCTTGCACACCCGCTACTGGGAATATGCCTGCAACCAAGGTACATGTCCTTGACTGGAATCGAACCCAGGTCCCTTCAGTCCCCAAGCCGACACTCTATCCATTGAGCCAAACCGGTCTCAGCAAATTCTTTTTACTTGTTTTAGAACTAGAAGCCCATTGCAGGAAGATTCCTGCAAGAATAGGACCTTAGCCTTCTCCACCACCCCACCTGCTTCCCTCCCTTCTCCAAAGCCCTGTCTGCTTCCCTGCTGCTTTACTCCCTTCTGCAGGGCTTGGCTTCCTTCTATGCTGTCTTCAGTCTTTGCTCTGTGTCTGGATATGCAAATTAACCGCCATCTTGTTGGGTTGATTTGCATACTTGCTCCTGATTGGCTGGTGGGTGTGGCTGGAGTTACTGACAATTTGCATGTTTTTCTTTTATTAGGTAGGATTACACACACACACACACACACACACACACACACACACACACACACTTCTTTTCCTTTTCCTTGCATTCTCATGTAGTAAATTTCTGTATTAGCATGTTAGTAGTTCTCAGGGCACTGGTTGTTTTTACACTGAAACCTGTGCTGTTCAATATGCCAGTAGAGTCACCCCTTCCAACCTCCCACCTCCAAAAGATGGAAAAATACTGCTCTGTATTACTCCTTTGCTTTCCTGGAGTGTAAGTACTGCTGCTTTTTAAATTCTCTAAAGTGTTTACTTACAATCTCTTACTTACCCTGTTGGCTGCTAGTGAGTCTAGCCCGTTTTGTCTATGTATTGTGTACTTCTCAGCTTTCTCTGTGGTTTTTCAAGCAATGAACTGAAGTATCCCTTTGATCTTATGTCCATTAGATACATTATAATATACAATTGTGTGCGGGTATCTAGGTATTTATATAAAATGTAGGTATGGTTTCACCCTCCTCCTGCTCCTCCACAGAGGCAACGTTTTCCTGCACTGACACGTGTCCAGGAGGGCGTCAAGCTCTTCTTTTACTTTTGCTATTGGAAGTGACTTATGGAAGCGCCTGAATCTTCAAACAAACTCTGGCCACACTCCGTCTCATATTCTTGCTGATTCACATGGTCTTCTGAGGCTCTGCTGAACCTAAGGCAAATATTTTCCCACTTCCTTTACTACTAGTAAGTTTCTGGTCTTTGAGCACGAGAATTTTTTTTAAGGCACCTGCTATGACAGATAGCTGAGATCAGGCATGCCAAGTGACTGATAAACTGATCCAATCTCCAGAGTCAGAACAATTAAAAGGTGTGTGTGTATGTGTGTATCTATGTGTGTGTGTGTGTGTGTGTGTGTGTGTGTGTGTGTGTGTGTATATATATATATATATGTTTTCTGATTCCATAATTTTCGTTGTCTTTCCTTGCAAACCTTTTTTTTTGTGTTTGTACATATATATGTGCTGTTAATACTATGACACATATACAATTTTGTTTTTAGCTTTTAAAAAATGTAACATTATTACATTAAAATTACCTTTCATCATTTCTTCTAAAATAGTTATTCTCCATGGGAACAAGGAAGCAAACAAACAAAAACCACATCCCTCTTCCCCGTCTGTACTCCTCTCTGAGAATCACACCTGCATGAGCTCTCCTTTTGTTAGGAGTGTGTTCCTTCATTGTGTTGGGATGCACATCACTGTTTTGACATGTCATCTTCAGTGTTAGTTCAATAGTGATATCATAAACCGCGTAGCCATTTCTTGGGATTGAACATCTTGAGACTTCATAATATATCATTATTATAAATAAATCTGGGACAAGCATTCTTATTCATCAGTATTTGTCCACAATTTTAATTATTTCCAAAGGTTAAATTTTTTCAAAAGCAATTATTGGGTCAACAGATTTGAATATTTTTCAGATTCTTTAATCACGTTGCCATGTTACTTTCTAAAATGTCTGTACTGAGCCAAAACCGGTTTGGCTCAGTGGATAGAGTGTTGGCCTGCGGACTGAAAGGTCCCAGGTTCGATTCCGGTCAAGGGCATGTACCGTGGTTGCGGGCACATCCCCAGTAGGGGTTGTGCAAGAGGCAACTGGTCGATGTTTCTCTCTCATCGACATTTCTAGCTCTCTAACTCTCTCCCTTCCTGTCTGTAAAATATCAATAAAATATATTTTAAAATGTTTGTACTTAATTATGCTTTTACCATCAGTGAATTAGTATGTCTTTCTTCCTAACTCTAAACAGTATTGAATATTGCTATTACAAAAAAAAAAAAATCTGTGCCAATTAGATAAGCCAAAATGGTACCTAATTACTGCTTCAATTTGCATTTCTTTGATTACGAATAACTTGGTGCCATATTTTAGAAGACCATTTTATCTTGTTTTGACATAACCTCGACTCAAGTTCATCTTCAGTTGTAACTATCAAGATAAATCATTGAAATGAAGAGCTGTAGTCCTGGAATAAACTAACATTATCCAGAATGCATACATTGAAAGCTGACAAATTAGAAGCAACAGAATTCTAACTCATAACTGTATATTTTTAACTTTTTATTATAAAATTTTAAAACACCCAGGAAAAGAAATAATATCATAAATTTCAATATAACCATGATTTTAGCTTTGACTGCCATCAGCATTCTACATTTCTTATTTCATCCATCTTCCTACTTTTTTTGGTGTAGGGAAGACATTGGCATATTTCAAGTTAAATAACAAACAGTATCATTTTTATCAATGAATACTTGTGTAAACAATATATATAAGGACCTTTAAAACTTGAATGTCTCCCCCATCACTTTGAATATAGGTGTGTGTTTTTTTAAAGGATTTATTACTAGAGGATATCAAATATACAAAAAAGTGCATAGAGCTTAAATAAATAGCTTGATAAATTATTACAATTATAATCTCTTACCTCAAGAATTTCCCTTCTGAAATTAATTCTAGGTAATTCATCAGAAATGTGAACAAAGATGTGCATAGGTTTTTCACAGTGATATTAAATAATACACAAGTTAAGAAAATAATGTTAAATCCACTTTATGAATGAGTATGTGCCAATTAAACTTGATGTAATAGAATATTAACACAAAGGACTGCAATATAGTTATCAGTGAAAAAAAATCAATAAGCTAAATAAGCTTCCACTTTAGGGAAGTAGAGAAACAAGAGCAATTTAAGCCTATGCCAAGTAAAAGAAAAAAATAATAAAAATTAGAGCTGAAAGTAATAGAAAACCAATAGAGAAAAAAATCAACAAAATCAAAACCTTGGTCTTTGAAGAAAAAAAAAATCAAACTGATAAATCTCTACTGAGGCTAACCAAAAGAAATAAATAAATAGAGAAGATATAATTTATCAATATTAAAAGAAAAATAGGGGTATCATCATTACTGATCCCCTGGACAATAAAATGATAATAAAGGAATACTAAAAACAACACTACTGCCAACGAATTTTGAAATCATAGATGAAAAAAACAAATTCCGTAAACACAAAATGCACACAAGAAGAAATAGATCAACTGCATGGGAATATATATATATATGTAATATATATAATATATATATTTATTTTTATATTTATATTATTTATATTTATATTTGAAATTGAATCAATAGTTAATAACCTCCCAAAACAGAAAGCAGCAAACTCAGATGGGTTCTACCTAACACTGAAAAAATAAATTATATCAATCCACCACAATCTCTTCCAGATAACAGAAGCAGAAGGAATACTCCTCAACTCACTCTTTAAGGCTAGCATTACTCTAATGCCAAAACCAGATAAAGGCATTTAAAAAATATATATATCTTTCATAAACATATTTTTTAAATCCTCAATTTATAAGTAAATCAATCCACCGATATATAAAAATAATATGCACGTCCTTACCAGTTGAGATTTATTCCAAATATTCAAAACTAGTTCAATATTCAAAAAATTAATATCACTTATCAGCAAACTAGTGTAGAAAAATCATGCTATATCATCATATGAATTGATGCGGAAAAGCATTTGACAAATGCCAACACTTTTTCATGAAAAAATTCTCAGCAAACTAGGAATTAGAGGCATTTCCTTAACATCATAAAAAAATACTTATAGAAAATCCTCAGCTAATATCGCACTTAATTGTGAAAAACTGAATACTTTGTCCCGCAGATTGGGATAGGAAGGATGCCCCC